TTCCTCCCAGAATCCCGTAAGTTCCTTCTATATGCTCGTCAGATCGAGATCCGGGGTGTAGACATTGACAACCCCTACTACAATTACATCATCTCCTTCACCGTGCCGGACATAGACAACGTGACAGTGGTGGACTATGACGCTGTGGAGCATCGCATCTACTGGTCAGATGTTCGAACGCAGACAATCAAGAGAGCTTTCATTAATGGCACTGGGGTGGAGACTGTTGTGTCTGCTGGTGAGAACAATTTCAGGAATATTTTTCATTCCAATTTTATCTTAATTCTTTGTTGTGATTTCAATTGAGAGTTAAATCCTTCTGTATCTGTCGGAAAATTTGATGAAACCCGAACGTTTTCCATTGTAATTCCAACATTTCCCAGACCTTCCTAATGCTCACGGCCTGGCAGTAGACTGGGTGTCCAGAAACCTCTTCTGGACCAGCTATGATGCCAATAAGAAGCAAATCAATGTAGCCAGACTGGATGGATCTTTCAAGAATGCTGTCATCCAGGGCTTGGACAAGCCCCACTGTCTGGTGGTGCATCCTCTACTGGGGTGAGTTCTGTTTCCGGTTAGTTAGGACTGCATTCAGATCAAGATGTGAATCCATTTTTTGTAATTTACTTTACTACCCTGACTGCCACTTCTTAGCCTACTAGTTTTTCCTCATTTGATGTCTCCTATTGCAATGCTTCTTGGGTAGAGCATGGCTCTTCTCCAGAAAATAGATCTCAGCTGCTCTTCATGTCTCATAGCATTAATATCTGTCCTCAGGAAGCTGTACTGGACTGATGGTGACAACATAAGCATGGCTAACATGGATGGTAGCAACAGCGCCATACTTTTCACCGATCAAAAAGGACCTGTGGGTGAGCACATATACCACCTACTGAAAAAAAAAAAAACTGTCAGCAAAATAATATTAGATCTCTATTAATAAGCCTATTAGGGATGTATATGTATAATAGCATCATTATCTTTTCCACTCAGGCCTCTCCATAGACTATGAACAAGAGCAGCTGTACTGGATCAGCTCAGGAAACAGCACCATTAGCCGCTGTCATCTGGATGGGACGAAACTGGAAATCCTGGAAGGTGTTAAAGGCAAACTTACCAAGGCTACTGCACTGGCTATTATGGGTACGTTGAAAAAGATGATACTTTAAATTTATCCTCTCTGTTTTCTAATCTGTCTGATCTGAAAGTTGATAGTTACATATTAGCCTACTGCTCACATGCTTAGAAATCACTGGCCCATGTTAAAGGAATAACATACAAATATATTAATCAATTACAAACACTGTAGGAGACAAGATGTGGTGGGCAGACCAGGGAACTGACCAGATTGGAACATGTGACAAGAAGGACGGAGGAAACTGGAAGGTTTTGCGAAACAACACCTCCCCTATGATGCACATGAGGATTTACGATGAGGATGTGCAGAAAGGTAAGAAATATTAATCCTACATATTGGAGTTGGAAAGCCAATTTAGATTAAATTATCTTGAGACTCATGTTTTGAAGTGGATGTAAAATTCACCATATCACTGCTCTATTCAGCATAAAACTAGAAAAGAAAAATACTTTTCTTTCTTTTTGTGCCTCACTGATCCTCTCTTCCTCCTTTAGCGGGTATCAACTTGTGTAGCAACAACAATGGAGACTGCTCCCAGCTGTGTCTGCCTACCTCACCAACAACCAGGGCCTGCATGTGCACTGCTGGATACAGCCTCCAGACAGGACAGCAGTCCTGTGAAGGTAAGACATGACTTCACAGCTACAGTCCTGCATAACTGTAGGAAATTCAGTGAGCCATAAAAACATAATATGTTGTACTGTCTCTGAGCAGGCATGGGCTCTTTCCTGCTTTACTCCGTTCATGAGGGAATTAGAGGAATTCCACTCGACCCGGCAGACAAATCTGACGCCTTGGTGCCAGTGTCTGGCACCTCTCTGGCAGTCGGCATAGACTTCCACGCTGGTGAGTGACACTGCTGGAAATCAGTAACTGGAGGACTTTGCTTGAGTGACATTTTAAAGCTGTCATTTTCTCAGTGAAGTGAGTATTTATAGGATGACACAAAAGGCCTCTTCGTTTTCAGAGAATGACACCATCTACTGGGTGGACATGGGCCTGAGCACCATCAGTAGGGCAAAGAGAGATCAGACATGGAGGGAAGATGTGGTCACCAACGGCATTGGCAGGGTGGAGGGCATCACAGTCGACTGGATCGCAGGTCTAGTCATAATAGATTCAAAATCCTATTTTAATGATATTGTCCAGGACTACATAGCTGAGTTATATCTCTGTTATTTTATAGGAAATATTTACTGGACTGACCAGGGCTTTGACGTGATCGAGGTGGCCAGGCTGAATGGTTCCTTCCGCTATGTAGTCATTTCCCAGGGCCTGGACAAACCCAGAGCCATCACTGTTCACCCAGTTAAAGGGTAAGTGTCCCTGGCAACAGTTTCATTCGGCCTTCTGTAAAGCTGTTGCCTTCACTCGCATGGAGTGATAGTGATAATATATATCTAAATCCCCCTAAAATGAACTTTTGTTTGCAGGTATCTGTTCTGGACTGAGTGGGGTCAGTACCCTCGTATTGAGCGCTCTAGATTGGATGGTTCCAAGAGGTTGGTCCTTGTCAATGTGAGCATCAGTTGGCCCAATGGAATCTCCGTCGACTACGAGGTATGGACCACGGCTGACATCATAGCTTTCAAGACATCCCTAAACTCGGTTGTCATTATTAACCCTCTGAGCCCCAAGCAGTTTCAGGATGTTTTTTTTTTTTTTGCTCCTGCCACATTTTACTATATGTGGCAAAACTTTTCACTGCAAAATATAAGTCCTGCAGCTCTATGAAAACAACACAAACATGGCTAGAAGTAGAGAGAACACAAAAATATCTTTTGTGCAGTACAACACAGTTTTGATGCCATAAACCATAAAGATGACAAACACAAGTTGAATTTTTAATAATTTATTTTACAAAAAGATGGAAAAAATTGGGGGCTCCACATGAACTTTTTACATTTTTTTACAACCTCCCTTGTCCTCTCCTTTCTGCTTCAGCGTCATATTTTAAAGCATTATGTCCCGTAGCGAACAAGCTAAAGAGGCATTAGAATCATTTCTATGACGTTTATTGTGTTTATGAATTAACAGTGTACCAGCATGCCAGTTTCCTTAATACCTTTTTTTGTTTGATTTTCATTTTGAAAATGTGAGCTTCCCTAAATAATCAACACTATTTTGTTTCTGCTTGTTCTTTGCAGGGGGGTATGCTGTATTGGTGCGATGCCAGGACAGACAAGATTGAGCGGATCAACCTGGAGACTGGAGAGAACAGGGAGCTAGTGCTGGCTAACAACAACATGGACATGTTTGCTGTGTCTGTTTTTGAGGAATTCATCTATTGGAGTGACAGGTCAGTTCAGAGGTTAATTAATTAGTTAAACCAACCATTAAAAAAGTCTCGTTCCATTGCTCTACTATCTGTTCATGCATGACTGCTTTTGAATTATGTGGAAGATTTAATATTGCATCATACTGTTAATTGAATAAGTTTTGTTGCCTCTTGTTTAGGACTCATGCCAATGGCTCCATTAAGAGAGGCAGCAAAGACAACGCTACAGATGCTGTGCAGCTGAGGACTGGCATTGGTGTACAGCTGAAAGACATCAAGGTTTTCAACAGGGCCAGGCAGCAAGGTAGGAACGCACACAAAACTCTAAGCACCATTAACTGAACCACAGTTTTGCTGAGAAGTCTGGCAAATATGTCCTCAAGAATAATGTGCATTCTTGAGTTAGTCCTTACATTTGTGCAAAAACATGCCCTCACAAACACAATGATAAAAACCTTAATCACCCAACTCAATGAAGCCCCCTAGGAATCCATGAAATTGTGTTTAACAAGGCTCATTATTTGATTTAACACCTCCATAAACATGTCACTACTCCTCAGGCACCAACGTCTGCAAAGACAACGGTGGCTGTGAACAGCTGTGTCTATTCCGTGGCAACGGGCAGCGCACCTGCGCCTGCGCTCACGGCATGCTGGCAGAGGACAACCGCGGCTGCCGCGACTATGACGGATACCTGCTGTACTCGGAGCGTACCATTCTGAAGAGCATCCACCTGTCTGATGAGACGAACCTCAACGCGCCAATAAAGCCATTTGAGGACCCCGACCACATGAAGAATGTCATTGCCCTCAGCTATGACTATCATGGCGGTGGAGGGAAAGGAGCCAACCGCATCTTCTTCAGCGATATCCACTTTGGCAACATCCAGCAGATCAACGATGATGGCACAGACCGCAAGATTGTGGTGGACAGTGAGTATCTAAGTCATCAATAACATGTCATTCTTTTTAACAAAAAACAAAACAAAAAAACTCTGCATCACTCATCATTTCACCCAAACTTTTCCCTCCACTCCATCTGTCTGCATATATTTCTGCTGCGTTGGTACCATTGCTTTCCTGTCCATTGATAATTGAATGTTGTCCCTCATCCCCTCAACACTACAAATAGCCATCATCACTCATTTTGACAACACAAGCACCCAGGAGGTTCCACTGCATGTACACACAGCTGCAGCTTCTCAACTAGAGGAGACTGACATCACTTAGGGCTGCCACTTAAAGAAGACACACTTTCACACACAAATGCACACTCCCTTTGCTTTTTGCCTGTTTCTACACTGAAGTGTCTTTTAAATCCCACTCTCTTTTAAATGACTCAAGAGAAGGTTGTTGGAACTCCATCCAGAAGCGGTACATTTAAAAGCCCTGGACCCAAAGCTGTTAGCAAGCACTATTCAAAACATGAATTCTGACAAGGAAAGTAAGGAAAATATAAAGCACATGGGGTTAGTGTGTTTATTGATGTTGTTTTGAACAGTTTGAGAAAAAGAGTTAGTTTTTGCATATTTTTAACCACCAAGTACAGAATCTATTCAAATTTTAGGAGAATTTAACACAGCTGAGGTCATGATTCTACATCTTCTCTGGAACTAATACACTTGTATTAGTTCCAGAGAAGATGTAGAATCATAATATGATGTTATGCTCATATTGTCACTGTTTTACTACATTCTGCTGTTCAAATTAACATACTCATTTTTCAAATTCTCGAGGTAAGAAATCCAAGCAAATTTTAAGTAGGTACTAGCAAAGAGGAAAATATGATTTTTAGTTCATACATGAATAGTTTTTACCTGATTTAATACATAACAATTGAATGAAGTGCATTGCATTTAACATCACTTTGAGCACTGCATGTGTAATCTTTACATACAGTGGTAAAATTCCATACAGTGAAAAATAAGTAAGTAAATACTGTATATGTAGATATAGTAAAGCATCAAGTGAGTAATGACGTAGCAGTGTTATCTGGCCAAAGAGTCAGTTTTGGCCCCTTTCTGAAGTTGTGTCCAGCTCAAAGGGCTGTACCATGTCCCTGCCCATCACATCAGGGCAACCAATCGGACAGCTTTTGCACCATGCCCAGAGTTTCCTCCCTAGCTCTAGTAAGTCTTGTCTAAACTTCCGTGACATAAACCCATATAGTACAGGGTTTACCACTGCTACTGAGGATGCCAACAGTCTGGCCAGGATTGCAATGGTTTTGTATCCAGATGAGCCCGTTACGGTTCCTCCAATTAAGGAGAACATGAGGGCATAGGAGGGCAGCCAGAGGAGAGTGAACACCAGGACCAGGAGAGCTGAAGTGTGAGTGACCTGGGTCTGATAGCGCTCCAGCTGGGGAGCGTTTCCCAGCAGCCATGCATGTCGAAGAAAACAGTAGATCTTGGCATACATCAGTACAATGATACCCAGTGGTAGAGCGAAGCCGAACAGGAAGAGGGCAATGCTGTAGACCAGCTGGCTGAAGTCAGACAGGAAGGCAAAGCAGTACACTGCGCTGGAGGCGGTAACTGTGCGGAAGGCAAACTGCGGCGCAGCCAAGGCCGAGGCAGGGACCCAGAGTAGAGCTACTGTCAGCTTAATGCGTCGGTGCAATCTTGAACGGTACACCCATGTGGGGTGCACCACTGTAAGGTAACGTGTCACAGCCAAAGCTGCCAGGGTGAAGACTGACGCAGCTGAGCAGGCCACACCCAGGAAGCTGATGGCCTTGCACAGAAAGCTGCCGAAAGGCCAGAAGCCCAGGGTGATGGCAGAGGTGTGGAAAGGCAGGCAGAGCAGCAGCAGCAGGTCTGCAGCACTCAGACCCAGCAGCAGGGTGTCTGTACCATGCGGGGGTTGATTTTTTTTCCTCCTCCTGCCAGTAAGAATGATGATGACCAGGGTTTGACCCACCAAGCCAGTCACCAGAATTAGTCCATCCAGGATGGGAACAAAGGCCTTGATCAAAGCCTCATCTGCCCTATTGATTGGCCCGAGGCTGCTGCTGTTTACTTGCTGCTCCAAACTCTCCATGCACTCACAAAAAAAGTCTTTTGAGTAATTAATCTAAAGGCCTGTTAATGCTAAGCATCAGAGCAGCATGTTCCCGTGGTGTCTGGGTGATGCATCTGTTGGCTCCAGTCCATGTCTTAAATTGTATTAATCACAGGTATGACCACACTCCTTTCAGTCAGCTAGTCCTCTCATAATGACAGGGATTAGCTAAGCAGTGAAAATTGCACTGGTCAGTTGACTTCATCTCCATTGAAGTTTACAATCCTTGCACTTGCAGGAAGAGAATAGAAAAAGTATATTCCAGTTTATTTTTAGTCTGTGCGTGGGATTGTAAATGGGATCCATATGCAGTTGGAATTCATTTTCGAGTGCCCAGAGAAAGTCGCATCATAATGTCCTCCTGCTCTGTCCCAATTGTGTCCCCTACACTGTTTTTCAACTTATTAGAAGGAATTATAACTACCCATTGTAAAACAGTTTGACTCAGAAAAAATAAATATACATGACCTTAAAAATCAGTCCTTGCACACTGGCTTTTCCTTGGCTGCATCAGCATGTCCTTCATAATCCATGGAAGAAGGAAAGGAAAATCGGAGCGATGTCAGTGCAGCAATTACTCTATGCCTGTATTGATTTCTTGAAACCAGGCAACTGCTGGACAAATTCATCCCAGTGGTTGCTCACTGATATTCCACTTTAAAAGCAGTCAATGCTACTTGATGCTAAGTGGTCACTGCGGCAGGAGGCATCTTGTCCATTTAGAAGCTCTTGAGAGACTTGCAACCTTGTAGACGTCACCAGCAGAAGACTTGCTGTACGATTCACCTGACTTCAGTCGTTGAAGGAATAAACAAGTAATGAACCATCTGAAAATGAATAGTAACAAAAGATAAGTAATTCTCTGGTGTCACTTTGATTACTGCACCTCTCCTGTGATAGTCAAAGAGACTCTGTTCTGAGCGACAGTGGTCTTTCCAACAGGTTTTCACCACTGTTTGCACAGTAACCAGGGGCTGAGCTGATCTAGGAAAGGGGAGGGGAGACTGTGTTGTTTCTCATTACATAATACTGGCTTGGACCTACTTTATTTATGCCTGTTTAGTACGGGATCTTTCCTCAACCAAAGCAATTAGGTGCCCAGGTATAGCTTTTTCTTCTTTCTGTTTTGCTCAGCCTGATTGTTGAGGATAAAAAACACAAGTGTGACTTTGTTTGCATGACTTTGTATTCGACCCATAGCTGGTCGTTTAGTTGCATTTCAGTTTGGTTAACAAGGCACTCAGCCTTAAAATTGTCCTGCATTAAGGTTGATTATGGCACTTTGTCATTCATTTGAAAGATCTATTAAGGGACTTTCAACGAACAGCAAACAGTTGAGTGTTCAGGTTTTTATTGTGGGCAGTAAGTGGTCATAAATGCGGTTGCTAGTGTGACCAAGAACAGATGGATGTACATCTTGGATCTCGTAAGGCTGCAGTACAGTGTCCTTTTCCATGAAGTGGTGTGTCATGTAAGCACAGTTAAAACAATATTACTACTACTGTATGTACTATGAGTGGAAGGTAGTAGGACAAAGGCTATCGAGAGCAGCTTCATGCTTTCATTGATTTTTTTTTTTTTTTTTTTTTTCACCCTGGCCTATTTCCCTTAATTGACTCAAGCTGTTCAATGGCAGTTTTCTTCCCAGAACAAGAAGTCACCATGAATGAGAGTGTCCACAGGGAGCTGTATTTGTATGTGCAGTCAGCCAGCCATGAAATGTCAGGATGATACATACTCTTTAAACTCTCTCCAGAAACAGCAGGTGTGTCACAGACTCTGCTCTGTGTGGTACCACTACATTACACTCTTTCGTTTCCCCTTTTCTCTTTAACCTTCCTCCTCACAGTGTTTCACTGTTCATGAACTGATGTGGGAAGATGGGGATAATCCTAAAAGCACTTAACCACTGCCTCTTTAATAAAGTCTCAGAGGTAACCATGGGGGCAACTTGTTAAACTATGATGGTATTTAATGAGTTGTTGATGGTCCTCATTAAAGCTCTCAATAAAACCCCCGAGAGTCGATAATATTTATAGTGAAATGAAAGAACCTTGTTCCTCTTTTTGCCTCTCGCAGCTTTGGCTGGATGAAAATAAAATAACTATTGTCTGAAGAACTATAGTCGTGGGTTCAAAATTTTTACAGAGGGCCAACTTCTTTCTTCTCTGCTCCCACAGATGTAGGCTCAGTTGAGGGCCTGGCATACCACCGTGGTTGGGACACACTCTACTGGACCAGTTACACAACCTCAACCATCACTCGCCACACTGTGGACCAGAGCCGCTCTGTGGCCTATAACCGCAACACTGTGGTCACTATGTCTGGAGAGGACCATCCCAGAGCTTTTGTGCTGGACGAGTGTCAGGAGTGAGTCATTAATAGCAAAACTTACTTTCTTTTGAATAGTAGATTTTCAGTTCAGCCAACCGTGACGTTTATTCCAAGACATTTTATGACCTCCCACTGCACATCATTATGCTTATCCTGTGTTTGCTCCCACTACAGTATTATGTTCTGGACCAACTGGAATGAGCAGGCTCCGAGCATCATGAGGGCCTCTCTCAATGGAGCCAATGTGCTCGCGATCATCGGTAGTGACATTAAAACTCCCAACGGTCTGGCCATAGATCACCGTGCTGAGAAACTCTACTTCTCCGACGCCACACTGGACAAGATTGAACGCTGCGAATATGATGGAAGCAGCCGTTATGTAAGACAGCCCTTTAACTTTGTCTTTGGCTACATCTAGGTGTTGACTTACACCTCCGAGTTCTGTGACATGATGCCTAAATGTTTCTGCTTCAGGTCTTGTTGAAGAATGAGCCTGTGCATCCGTTCGGCCTGGCTGTGTATGGAGACTACATCTTCTGGACTGACTGGGTGAGGAGGGCCGTCCTTAGGGCCGACAAATACACAGGAGGAGACATGAAAGTGCTGCGTGCCGACATCCCTCAGCAGCCAATGGGCATTGTGGCTGTGGCTAATAACACCAACAGCTGTAAGTATTATCCACTGAAGTTACTGTGAAGTTTGTATAAGTTGCTCCTCTCAAATACATGATTCCATTTTTGTATCCATGCCAGTGGCGAGGCTTTAGGGATGTGCATGCTAGTCTGTCAGTTAGTCTGTCAGTCCCCCACTTTGGTTCAGACTGAAATACTTAACCACGAATGGATTGCCATGAAATTTTGGCACAGATATCCATATCCCACTCAGGAATCTGTCATCACTTTGGTTATCATCAAATAAATCTTTCTAATTTGTCCAAAACTTCCACACCAAATACCTGCAAAACTCATGATATTCCCATCAGCCTCGGCTGTACTTTTTTACTTCGCAAATTCCAGCATGCTAACAAGCTAAAGTAATGTGGTGAACATTACAGTTATACATGTAAACATGTTACAGTAACCTTTATACATGCAAAACGCCAGCATGTTGGCGTTGCCATTACGAGCATGTTGCCATGTTGGTGTTAGCATTTAGCCTCATCGAGCCACTAGCATGACTGTAGAGTAGTCTTGTTATTGTATATGACCAACTTTCACAGACGATAACTATGGTCAAGCTAAAAAGTTACCAGAGTATACTAACTGCATTTCATTATATATATTAAATTGTGTGTTGGGCTTTCTGCTAATATTTTCTCCACAAGGAAAGAACACTCTCATTAACCCTCCTCTGTCATACCTTCCTCAGGTGAGTTTTCTCCTTGTCGTTCAAATAACGGAGGTTGCCCAGACCTGTGTCTGCCCACATCTGATGGACGGGTTAACTGCAGTTGCCGCGGAGAGAGACAACTCCTGGACGATAACACCTGCTCTTGTAAGAGAAAGTCTTCACTCATTTTAGGATACGATTTTCCACCTCTTGATTAAAAATGTTGCTGAATTCAAATGTTTCTACCTCACCAGCATTAAATGTGTCGTGTGGAAGCGTGGATGACTTTGAGTGTGGAAACGGTGACTGTATCAACTACAGCTTGACCTGTGATGGCATGGCTCACTGCAAGGACAAGTCCGATGAGAAGCAGTCCTATTGTGGTGAGTTTGTTTATGGGACCAGTAGTTGATTTACAGTGAGCTGTCACAGGTACATTTTGAGCTGAAGGGGGAAATGTAGTTTGTTTGATACAGAGTATGTAGCACAGCTTATTGGTTTCATTTATACTGTTTTTATAATTGTATTTATAATATGTGAAAAAGGACTCTGGGATTGAGCTAACTCTAATCAACTGCTGTTCCTCCGCAGCCAATCGAATTTGTAAGAAAGGCTACAGGCGCTGTATGAACGGCCGCTGTATCGGCCACCAGTTCTGGTGTGATGGAACGGATGACTGTGGTGACCACTCGGATGAACTGCCCTGCAACAGTAAGCAATTTAAATGCACTTTTATAACTGCAGCTGATTTAAAAATCCTTGAGGTTTTGATAGGTGTCGGTCCGGTATTAGATTTTGCTACATGTTTAATTGCTATGTCCACACAATCCCGCAATGTTTTTGCTTACTCGATCGAATTGCCTTCTGCACCCTGCAGTGACCCTGTGCAAAGTGGGAGAGTTCCAGTGTAAAGATGGAAGCTGTATTTCCAACTTCAGCCGCTGTGACCAGGTGGTCAACTGTGAGGATGCTAGTGATGAAATTAACTGCCGTAAGTAATCTACCATGATGATTTTAAAACGATTATTAAAGGGGAAAGCTAAGCTTTAATTAATTGATTAGTTACGATATCTTTAAAGTTAATTTTTAAAAGCTTTTTCCATTATCTTCAGAACCCACCGATTGCGCCCGTTTCTTCCGCCTGGGAGTGAAAGGAGTGTCCTTCCAGAGCTGTGAGAAAACTACTCTGTGTTATCTTTCATCATGGGTGTGTGACGGCAACAATGACTGCGGAGACTTTTCAGATGAGAGAAATTGCCCAGGTTGGATGATTTGTTTCCCTTCAAAATGCTTTCTGCCTTTCTAAAATTGTCAGAGATTTTAGATTGGTTTTTTTTCTGTTGTCTTGCAGATAAAAGGAAGCTTAAATGTCCAGTCAACTTCTTTGCTTGTCCCAGTGGTCGCTGCATTCCTATGAGCTGGACCTGTGATAAGGAGAATGACTGTGAGAACGGCGCTGATGAGACACACTGTGGTCAGTCAACAAAGTTGTCCTCTAGTACACAAAACATACTAGGAAAAACAGCCTGTTTTTCTTTTGGCTTCTC